TCTAATATAATATTACTGCAGGCACGGACATTCTATCGCATCTCCTCGTGACACAACACACAAAACGCGTACTTAACTGAGGAACTAGCACGGGCCAACACCGTCAGGGAAGAACCAAAACCTGCTGATGAAGTAGAGCCTGTGAGTATCTACTAGTGATTACTCATACTGTTTTGCGATTATATTATAATATATTATGACATTTGCCGCTCAGGCGCGAGGCACGATAGCTCAATAAGCTTAAATAGTGCCTAGTTTTAACAAAATAAACCAAATTTTCATGTCACATAAAATCAAAATAAAATTTTCATGTCTTAATAACCATTTTATAGAACATATTTGCTCTTTATTCAAAACTCTTAAAGTAATTTGAAAAACGGCTTAAATAAACATGCGTTTCGTAAGGAGGAATTCATTTATTTCAGTTTCAATATTAATTTTAAGAGGTCACATCAAATAGTATACTACGTAGAAGAAATTAAAATCATCGTATATCTGTCTTCAGATGATTCCAGTGTACGCTGAAGGCTGTGAGCTGACGGCCAACGTGCTCTTCTACATGGATCATCTCAAACAACACCAGGACAAGGAGCTGGAGATTAAATGTACGAGATGTGTGCTGAGATTCGTACGTCTCGGTGAATAATACAACTGTAAGTACTATAATACAAACAGATGAAACTAATATTTTCGGACTGTTTCGCGTATTTTATTATTTTAAAAACTATTATATATACATCCGACGTTTCGGTTACTTGTTAGCAACCAAGCGTCAGCGTCGGGAGTTTTTATCAAAAATCAAGTCGCGTAGTATATCCGAAAAATATTAGTTTCATTTACAATAAAATGAGTTCAATACACACATTGATACGTATAATATTTTTCAGATCAACTGAAAGAGCATCAGATTCGAGACCACAACCCGTTCGAGGAGGTTCTACCTCTGTGTTCTACTGAGCACTTGATTAACCTGCCCAAGATATGTACGTCATATAACTCTACTGCTACTTGTATATACTGCTACTTATTTATCTACAATTAACAAACTGCAATTACATAATAATATATTATTTTCAGAACAAAGCCCGCCCTCCCATCAAGGACGTCGCGTGTCACGCCATCAGCGACACGTATGAAGGTGTCACGTTGGTCATACAAGAGGGTCTTCTGTGTCGCGAGTGTGACACGCCGCTTGACAGTGACAAACACTTCCTGTTAGTATAACCACTTGATAAAACGACGCTGCAAACATTGAATACAATCAGATTTATTGAATGTCAGTAAAGAGACGTAGTTTTTCCTTTATCGTGTTGAAAACAATCATTAACTTTTACAAAAAAAAAAATGTTATTTTAGTAGCCCTTACTATATTGTGATATCATCTTTTTAATATTTCTATATTTTCTAATGAAGAAAGATTAGACAAATAATATACCAAATGTTTGATACATACTAAAGTATAATTTTAATATTCTCAATATACAGCGGTCGCACGTCGCGCAGCAAGTGTCCATATGCTACATCATGTTACCGAGCGATGTTGAGACACAGTGGATATTGCGCCGGCTCACTTTCACTGGAGGCCGCTCCTAGACCCGCTCCCACGCTATACTGCATCTGCGAATACTCTACAGACATAAGTCAGTTTACACTGGTTATAGGATATCAATCAATATAATATATTTTCATTTTCTTTTATAAATTTTATAACTAACTATGTAACTGTTAGACCAGCAGCATATATAAATCAATATAAAATATACAAATACCCAATGACTATAGTAACTAATAAAATATTAATATTTTAATCCCCAGATGGCATCGTTAAATTAAACAAGTATGTAGTATTAACAGATTTTATTTTCACGACGCAAAAATTGTATACAGTTCGTAAATATTTGCAATTCTGTATGAAAAACGTTGTTGTTCTAATATAATATTACTGCAGGCACGGACATTCTATCGCATCTCCTCGTGACACAACACACAAACGCGTACTTAACTGAGGAACTAGCACGGGCCAACACCGTCAGGGAAGAACCAAAACCTGCTGATGAAGTAGAGCCTGTGAGTATCTACTAGTGATTACTCATACTGTTTTGCGATTATATTATAATATATTATGACATTTGCCGCTCAGGCGCGAGGCACGATAGCTCAATAAGCTTAAATAGTGCCTAGTTTTAACAAAAAATAAACCAAATTTTCATGTCACATAAAATCAAAATAAAATTTTCATGTCTTAATAACCATTTTATAGAACATATTTGCTCTTTATTCAAAACTCTTAAAGTAATTTGAAAAACGGCTTAAATAAACATGCGTTTCGTAAGGAGGAATTCATTTATTTCAGTTTCAATATTAATTTTAAGAGGTCACATCAAATAGTATACTACGTAGAAGAAATTAAAATCATCGTATATCTGTCTTCAGATGATTCCAGTGTACGCTGAAGGCTGTGAGCTGACGGCCAACGTGCTCTTCTACATGGATCATCTCAAACAACACCAGGACAAGGAGCTGGAGATTAAATGTACGAGATGTGTGCTGAGATTCGTACGTCTCGGTGAATAATACAACTGTAAGTACTATAATACAAACAGATGAAACTAATATTTTCGGACTGTTTCGCGTATTTTATTATTTTAAAAACTATTATATATACATCCGACGTTTCGGTTACTTGTTAGCAACCAAGCGTCAGCGTCGGGAGTTTTTATCAAAAATCAAGTCGCGTAGTATATCCGAAAAATATTAGTTTCATTTACAATAAAATGAGTTCAATACACACATTGATACGTATAATATTTTTCAGATCAACTGAAAGAGCATCAGATTCGAGACCACAACCCGTTCGAGGAGGTTCTACCTCTGTGTTCTACTGAGCACTTGATTAACCTGCCCAAGATATGTACGTCATATAACTCTACTGCTACTTGTATATACTGCTACTTATTTATCTACAATTAACAAACTGCAATTACATAATAATATATTATTTTCAGAACAAAGCCCGCCCTCCCATCAAGGACGTCGCGTGTCACGCCATCAGCGACACGTATGAAGGTGTCACGTTGGTCATACAAGAGGGTCTTCTGTGTCGCGAGTGTGACACGCCGCTTGACAGTGACAAACACTTCCTGTTAGTATAACCACTTGATAAAACGACGCTGCAAACATTGAATACAATCAGATTTATTGAATGTCAGTAAAGAGACGTAGTTTTTCCTTTATCGTGTTGAAAACAATCATTAACTTTTACAAAAAAAAAATGTTATTTTAGTAGCCCTTACTATATTGTGATATCATCTTTTTAATATTTCTATATTTTCTAATGAAGAAAGATTAGACAAATAATATACCAAATGTTTAATACATACTAAAGTATAATTTTAATATTCTCAATATACAGCGGTCGCACGTCGCGCAGCAAGTGTCCATATGCTACATCATGTTACCGAGCGATGTTGAGACACAGTGGATATTGCGCCGGCTCACTTTCACTGGAGGCCGCTCCTAGACCCGCTCCCACGCTATACTGCATCTGCGAATACTCTACAGACATAAGTCAGTTTACACTGGTTATAGGATATCAATCAATATAATATATTTTCATTTTCTTTTATAAATTTTATAACTAACTATGTAACTGTTAGACCAGCAGCATATATAAATCAATATAAAATATACAAATACCCAATGACTATAGTAACTAATAAAATATTAATATTTTAATCCCCAGATGGCATCGTTAAATTAAACAAGTATGTAGTATTAACAGATTTTATTTTCACGACGCAAAAATTGTATACAGTTCGTAAATATTTGCAATTCTGTATGAAAAACGTTGTTGTTCTAATATAATATTACTGCAGGCACGGACATTCTATCGCATCTCCTCGTGACACAACACACAAACGCGTACTTAACTGAGGAACTAGCACGGGCCAACACCGTCAGGGAAGAACCAAAACCTGCTGATGAAGTAGAGCCTGTGAGTATCTACTAGTGATTACTCATACTGTTTTGCGATTATATTATAATATATTATGACATTTGCCGCTCAGGCGCGAGGCACGATAGCTCAATAAGCTTAAATAGTGCCTAGTTTTAACAAAATAAACCAAATTTTCATGTCACATAAAATCAAAATAAAATTTTCATGTCTTAATAACCATTTTATAGAACATATTTGCTCTTTATTCAAAACTCTTAAAGTAATTTGAAAAACGGCTTAAATAAACATGCGTTTCGTAAGGAGGAATTCATTTATTTCAGTTTCAATATTAATTTTAAGAGGTCACATCAAATAGTATACTACGTAGAAGAAATTAAAATCATCGTATATCTGTCTTCAGATGATTCCAGTGTACGCTGAAGGCTGTGAGCTGACGGCCAACGTGCTCTTCTACATGGATCATCTCAAACAACACCAGGACAAGGAGCTGGAGATTAAATGTACGAGATGTGTGCTGAGATTCGTACGTCTCGGTGAATAATACAACTGTAAGTACTATAATACAAACAGATGAAACTAATATTTTCGGACTGTTTCGCGTATTTTATTATTTTAAAAAACTATTATATATACATCCGACGTTTCGGTTACTTGTTAGCAACCAAGCGTCAGCGTCGGGAGTTTTTATCAAAAATCAAGTCGCGTAGTATATCCGAAAAATATTAGTTTCATTTACAATAAAATGAGTTCAATACACACATTGATACGTATAATATTTTTCAGATCAACTGAAAGAGCATCAGATTCGAGACCACAACCCGTTCGAGGAGGTTCTACCTCTGTGTTCTACTGAGCACTTGATTAACCTGCCCAAGATATGTACGTCATATAACTCTACTGCTACTTGTATATACTGCTACTTATTTATCTACAATTAACAAACTGCAATTACATAATAATATATTATTTTCAGAACAAAGCCCGCCCTCCCATCAAGGACGTCGCGTGTCACGCCATCAGCGACACGTATGAAGGTGTCACGTTGGTCATACAAGAGGGTCTTCTGTGTCGCGAGTGTGACACGCCGCTTGACAGTGACAAACACTTCCTGTTAGTATAACCACTTGATAAAACGACGCTGCAAACATTGAATACAATCAGATTTATTGAATGTCAGTAAAGAGACGTAGTTTTTCCTTTATCGTGTTGAAAACAATCATTAACTTTTACAAAAAAAAAATGTTATTTTAGTAGCCCTTACTATATTGTGATATCATCTTTTTAATATTTCTATATTTTCTAATGAAGAAAGATTAGACAAATAATATACCAAATGTTTAATACATACTAAAGTATAATTTTAATATTCTCAATATACAGCGGTCGCACGTCGCGCAGCAAGTGTCCATATGCTACATCATGTTACCGAGCGATGTTGAGACACAGTGGATATTGCGCCGGCTCACTTTCACTGGAGGCCGCTCCTAGACCCGCTCCCACGCTATACTGCATCTGCGAATACTCTACAGACATAAGTCAGTTTACACTGGTTATAGGATATCAATCAATATAATATATTTTCATTTTCTTTTATAAATTTTATAACTAACTATGTAACTGTTAGACCAGCAGCATATATAAATCAATATAAAATATACAAATACCCAATGACTATAGTAACTAATAAAATATTAATATTTTAATCCCCAGACGGCATCGTTAAATTAAACAAGTATTAACAGATTTTATTTTCACGACTCAAAAATTGTATACAGTTCGTAAATATTTGCAATTCTGTATGAAAAACGTTGTTGTTCTAATATAATATTACTGCAGGCACGGACATTCTATCGCATCTCCTCGTGACACAACACACAAACGCGTACTTAACTGAGGAACTAGCACGGGCCAACACCGTCAGGGAAGAACCAAAACCTGCTGATGAAGTAGAGCCTGTGAGTATCTACTAGTGATTACTCATACTGTTTTGCGATTATATTATAATATATTATGACATTTGCCGCTCAGGCGCGAGGCACGATAGCTCAATAAGCTTAAATAGTGCCTAGTTTTAACAAAATAAACCAAATTTTCATGTCACATAAAATCAAAATAAAATTTTCATGTCTTAATAACCATTTTATAGAACATATTTGCTCTTTATTCAAAACTCTTAAAGTAATTTGAAAAACGGCTTAAATAAACATGCGTTTCGTAAGGAGGAATTCATTTATTTCAGTTTCAATATTAATTTTAAGAGGTCACATCAAATAGTATACTACGTAGAAGAAATTAAAATCATCGTATATCTGTCTTCAGATGATTCCAGTGTACGCTGAAGGCTGTGAGCTGACGGCCAACGTGCTCTTCTACATGGATCATCTCAAACAACACCAGGACAAGGAGCTGGAGATTAAATGTACGAGATGTGTGCTGAGATTCGTACGTCTCGGTGAATAATACAACTGTAAGTACTATAATACAAACAGATGAAACTAATATTTTCGGACTGTTTCGCGTATTTTATTATTTTAAAAAACTATTATATATACATCCGACGTTTCGGTTACTTGTTAGCAACCAAGCGTCAGCGTCGGGAGTTTTTATCAAAAATCAAGTCGCGTAGTATATCCGAAAAATATTAGTTTCATTTACAATAAAATGAGTTCAATACACACATTGATACGTATAATATTTTTCAGATCAACTGAAAGAGCATCAGATTCGAGACCACAACCCGTTCGAGGAGGTTCTACCTCTGTGTTCTACTGAGCACTTGATTAACCTGCCCAAGATATGTACGTCATATAACTCTACTGCTACTTGTATATACTGCTACTTATTTATCTACAATTAACAAACTGCAATTACATAATAATATATTATTTTCAGAACAAAGCCCGCCCTCCCATCAAGGACGTCGCGTGTCACGCCATCAGCGACACGTATGAAGGTGTCACGTTGGTCATACAAGAGGGTCTTCTGTGTCGCGAGTGTGACACGCCGCTTGACAGTGACAAACACTTCCTGTTAGTATAACCACTTGATAAAACGACGCTGCAAACATTGAATACAATCAGATTTATTGAATGTCAGTAAAGAGACGTAGTTTTTCCTTTATCGTGTTGAAAACAATCATTAACTTTTACAAAAAAAAAATGTTATTTTAGTAGCCCTTACTATATTGTGATATCATCTTTTTAATATTTCTATATTTTCTAATGAAGAAAGATTAGACAAATAATATACCAAATGTTTAATACATACTAAAGTATAATTTTAATATTCTCAATATACAGCGGTCGCACGTCGCGCAGCAAGTGTCCATATGCTACATCATGTTACCGAGCGATGTTGAGACACAGTGGATATTGCGCCGGCTCACTTTCACTGGAGGCCGCTCCTAGACCCGCTCCCACGCTATACTGCGTCTGCGAATACTCTACAGACATAAGTCAGTTTACACTGGTTATAGGATATCAATCAATATAATATATTTTCATTTTCTTTTATAAATTTTATAACTAACTATGTAACTGTTAGACCAGCAGCATATATAAATCAATATAAAATATACAAATACCCAATGACTATAGTAACTAATAAAATATTAATATTTTAATCCCCAGATGGCATCGTTAAATTAAACAAGTATGTAGTATTAACAGATTTTATTTTCACGACGCAAAAATTGTATACAGTTCGTAAATATTTGCAATTCTGTATGAAAAACGTTGTTGTTCTAATATAATATTACTGCAGGCACGGACATTCTATCGCATCTCCTCGTGACACAACACACAAACGCGTACTTAACTGAGGAACTAGCACGGGCCAACACCGTCAGGGAAGAACCAAAACCTGCTGATGAAGTAGAGCCTGTGAGTATCTACTAGTGATTACTCATACTGTTTTGCGATTATATTATAATATATTATGACATTTGCCGCTCAGGCGCGAGGCACGATAGCTCAATAAGCTTAAATAGTGCCTAGTTTTAACAAAATAAACCAAATTTTCATGTCACATAAAATCAAAATAAAATTTTCATGTCTTAATAACCATTTTATAGAACATATTTGCTCTTTATTCAAAACTCTTAAAGTAATTTGAAAAACGGCTTAAATAAACATGCGTTTCGTAAGGAGGAATTCATTTATTTCAGTTTCAATATTAATTTTAAGAGGTCACATCAAATAGTATACTACGTAGAAGAAATTAAAATCATCGTATATCTGTCTTCAGATGATTCCAGTGTACGCTGAAGGCTGTGAGCTGACGGCCAACGTGCTCTTCTACATGGATCATCTCAAACAACACCAGGACAAGGAGCTGGAGATTAAATGTACGAGATGTGTGCTGAGATTCGTACGTCTCGGTGAATAATACAACTGTAAGTACTATAATACAAACAGATGAAACTAATATTTTCGGACTGTTTCGCGTATTTTATTATTTTAAAAACTATTATATATACATCCGACGTTTCGGTTACTTGTTAGCAACCAAGCGTCAGCGTCGGGAGTTTTTATCAAAAATCAAGTCGCGTAGTATATCCGAAAAATATTAGTTTCATTTACAATAAAATGAGTTCAATACACACATTGATACGTATAATATTTTTCAGATCAACTGAAAGAGCATCAGATTCGAGACCACAACCCGTTCGAGGAGGTTCTACCTCTGTGTTCTACTGAGCACTTGATTAACCTGCCCAAGATATGTACGTCATATAACTCTACTGCTACTTGTATATACTGCTACTTATTTATCTACAATTAACAAACTGCAATTACATAATAATATATTATTTTCAGAACAAAGCCCGCCCTCCCATCAAGGACGTCGCGTGTCACGCCATCAGCGACACGTATGAAGGTGTCACGTTGGTCATACAAGAGGGTCTTCTGTGTCGCGAGTGTGACACGCCGCTTGACAGTGACAAACACTTCCTGTTAGTATAACCACTTGATAAAACGACGCTGCAAACATTGAATACAATCAGATTTATTGAATGTCAGTAAAGAGACGTAGTTTTTCCTTTATCGTGTTGAAAACACTCATTTATTTTTACAAAAAGAATGTTATTTTAGTAGCCCTTATTATATTGTGATATCATCTTTTTAATATTTCTATATTTTCTAATGAAGAAAGATTAGATAAATAATATACCAAATGTTTAATACATACTAAAGTATAATTTTAATATTCTCCATATAAAGCGGTCGCACGTTGCGCAGCAAGTGTCCATATGCTACATCATGTTACCGAGCGATGTTTTTTTTTTTTTTTTTTTTATATCTAGTACCTCAGACGTGGTCCGAGCCCTTGTTTGCTAATTCATTTCTCGTCCATACCAGTTCTCGCATTCTCGATGGCCTTTCTTTCCTCATACATTGTCTTTCTCTCATTCCTCTCATTCATTCCATTTAGTTGTGTACCTACTGTCTTATTTCTATATATTATCTTATTTCTGGGATAGGGGGGTTTTCCGCAGAGCTTTTATTTCGCTAAGATTTACATCGTTTCATTACATCTTTCTTATACATTACTGCTTGCTAATTATTTACTTATTTACTAATTTACATTTGTCTCTATTTTCACAGTTTACAGTTATTGAGTTTATAACAATTTACATTTTACTTTTAATTACATCATTTCATTACATCTTTCTTTTACATTACTACTTGCTAATTATTTACTTATTTACTAATTTACATTTGTCTTATATTTACAGTTTACAATTATTTTGTTTATAACAATTTACATTTTAGTTTTAGCATTCACTTGACAATTTATTTAACATTTATTACACATCTAATTTTTCTTATTTATACATTTAACTATTACAATTACTATGACATTTTAGCAGTTGTTGTATTTAACATTACTCATTTTAACTTTAACATTTATCTGTGTTTCAGATGTTCTCCCGCCCTAGCTCTTCCATCTCGTGCAGTGCCTCTTCTCGGGTACGCGCCTTCCTGCGGTCTATCACGCGGCGGATTTGGTGCTTCTGGTGAGTGTTCTTTTATTACCATCCATTCTTATTCACTAAGTATATCAGGTTTTTGCTCCACCTTTTCTGAGCTCCTCCTCCTAGCCCCGACCGAATCGCACTGGTTCCGTTCTGTCCAGGTTTTGGGGTTGGGTCTGCCCTTTTAAATTGGGGAACCTTTACCATTAAAGATTGCCAATTTCTGGTGGTATTTTGTAGCAGTTTGGTAGTTTCCTTTCTTTGTCTTTGTCCTAACTCCATTTTCCTTGGATTGAACCCAGTGCGACTCTTCCCGGAGTTACTCGCCAGGTTACGCTTGCTACTGCTGCGTATGCTACCGAGCGATGTTGAGACACAGTGGATATTGCGCCGGCACACTTTCACTGGAGGCCGCTCCTAGACCCGCTCCCACGCTATACTGCGTCTGCGAATACTCTACAGACATAAGTCAGTTTACACTGGTTATAGGATATCAATCAATATAATATATTTTCCTTTTCTTTTATAAATTTTATAACTAACTATGTAACTGTTAGACCAGCAGCATATATTTATCAATATAAAATATACAAATACCCAATGATTATAGTAACTAATAAAATATTAATATTTTAATCCCCAGACGGCATCGTTAAATTAAACAAGTATGTAGTATTAACAGATTTCATTTTCACGACGCAAAAATTGTATACAGTTCGTAATTATTTGCAATTCTGTATGAAAAACTTTGTTCTTCTAATATAATATTACTCCAGGCACGGACATTCTATCTCATCTCCTCGTGACACAACACACAAGCGCGTACTTAACTGAGGAACTAGCACGGGCCAACACCGTCAGGGAAGAACTAAAACCTGCTGATGAAGTAGAGCCTGTGAGTATCTACTAGTGATTACTCATACTGTTTTGCGATTATATTATAATATACTATGACATTTGCCGCTCAGGCGCGAGGCACGATAGCTCAATAAGCTTAAATAGTGCCTAGTTTTAACAAAGTAAACCAAATTTTCATGTCACATAAAATCAAAATAAAATTTTCATGTCTTAATAACAATTTTATAGAACATATGTGCTCTTTATTCAAAACTTTTAAAGTAATTTAAAAACGGCTTAAATAAACATGCGTTTGTAAGGAGGAATTCATTTATTTCAGTTTCAATATTAATTTTAAAGGTCACATCAAATAGTATACTACATAGAAGAAATTAAAATCATCGTATATCTGTCTTCAGATGATTCCAGTGTACGCTGAAGGCTGTGAGCTGACGGCCAACGTGCTCTTCTACATGGACCATCTCAAACAACACCAGGACAAGGAGCTGGAGATTAAATGTACGAGATGTGTGCTGAGATTCGTACGTCTCGGTGAATAATACAACTGTAAGTACTATAATATAAACAGATGAAACTAATATTTTCGGACTGTTTCGCGTATTTTATTATTTTAAAAACTATTATA